TCCTATTTTAAAAATTTTCATTGATGCTTTTTAATCAGTCAGGTCACAATCATCATCATCGATATCGCAATGAAATCAAATTGAAAATTTTTTAAAACTTGTTGATAAAAGTAACTAATATATATATGTATGTATGAATATATATATATAAATAAATATATATATATATATATATATATATAGTAAAACGTTTAAATTTTTCTGAGAGTATTCAAAATAATTTGAGGCTACACCACTGAAATGGATGTGAGTGAATGAATGAATGAATGAATGAATGAATGAATGAATGAATAAATAAATGAATGAATGAATGAATGAATGAATGAATGAATGAATGAATGAATGAATGAATGAATGAATGAATAAATAAATGAATGAATGAATGAATGAGTGAATGAGTGGAAGAGTGAACGAATAAGAAGATTAGTGAATCACCAACACTATATATTAATATAATATATAACACTATATAATACTATATGGTAAATAACTCTACATATCTATATATAAATCTATATAACCGTGTATAACATTATATAATAATATATAACCAATAACTCTATATAACTATAAAAAAATCTTTATAACCGTATATAACACTATACAATAATATATAACCAATAACTCTACATAACTATATATAAATCTTTATAACCGTATATATTATCAATAACTCTTCATAAATATATATAAATCTATATAACCGTATATAACACTTTATATTAATATATAACCAATAACTCTACATAACTATATAAAAATCTATATAAACGTATATAACATTATATAATAATATATAATCAATAAGTCTACATAACTATATAAAAATCTATATAACCGTATATAACACTATATAATAATATATAATCAATAACTCTACATAACTATATATAAATCTGAATAACCGTACATAACATTGTATTGTTATAATACTCGCTGTCGTAACCGATTTACGATGCGACGGGTTCAAATCCTCGATTGAATAAAATATTCCAAACAGTTATTAAACTTTATTTACAGAAGAAATCAACTATTATTAGTTATTAAACTTTATTTTCAGAAGAAATTAACTAATCATTTATTTCCAGTAAATTCGCACTAACGCAACAATTAACTTTTAAATCTTTCAAAATCTATCGCTATGACAACGTCAACAAACAAATCAAATATTATTTTTATCGGTCGATATTTTGTTATATTTGTTTATTTAAAATACGAATTTAAAAAAAATTGACATTTTAAAATTTTAATTAACCGTCACTTTTCATTTTTGAATGAATTTAAATAAAAGCAACTACTGTGTTTTTCTTTCTTTACTAAAATCTCGAAATTGTTTGTAGATCTGTACGGTTAACTGTTTGTTCGAGTTTGAACAAGCCTTGCAAATTTTTTTTATTTATTTTTGATTTTATTTTTGTTTATTTGGTTCATTCAATTTAGTTGATTGATTGATCGGTTGATTGATTGATCGGTTGATTGATTGATCGGTTGATTGATCGGTTGGTTGATTGATTGACTGACAGACTGACTGGCAGGCTGGCTGGCTGGCTGACTGTCCGACCGACCGACCGACTGACTGATTGATTTATCTCATAGTATTGTATACATGAGAAAAAATCCGATTAAGCCAACCTACGGCTTCAGTAAGCCACTATTTTTCACCTGACAAATGCAATTTCTATATTTATACTGACAAAAATAATTGTGATATGAATATATTGATTTATTTAAAGCATTATATGTACAAAAAAGTGCTATCATAAGAGTTCTATGAAACCCTGTAAGCCACTGCTGTAAGCCAACGTATGATTTCAGCAGCCAGTTTCTTATGAGCACCAGCAGAATGTAAAATATTTATTGAATATAATGAAGATAGTTGTTCGAAAAAAATTTTTGATTTATTTAGGCCGTTTATTTCATAAGCAAACCAATTTTTAACATGATCGAATAGTGTAAAAAAAAGGGCGACTATAGTTCAATCCCACTAAGCCAACCTTCGGCTTCAGTAAGCCACCGGATTTCACCGGACCAAAAGCAATTTTTATATTCAAATTAACAAAAATAATTTATTAATACATAATTCTATTAATCATTATTAAAATTAAATAGAATTACTACAATGTTTTAAGCATATTAAATCAAGTAAATATTTCATTTAGTTTGCTCGTTAAAATCCATGCAATTTCGTAAGCCAACAATCCAAGCACGACAAATAGCCCGACCGATAGATCAAATTGATCGATTAGTCCTATTATTCTAGTTATGTGGTTTGGAGCAAGGGGAGACATTACTGAAAATAATTAAAAGTTGAAAAAATTGAGGTTCTTTGCATATCCCTGCTTCAACCCATAAGAAGGTGTTGTATGCTGATAAATAGGCCTCCCCTTGGAAAAACCCAAGACGGATCTCCAATTTTTCCGAGTATTAATTACAAGAGGATACAGATAGTAAAAATTCCATGGCTACTGAAGTTTTTCGGTAAGAAGTTTTTCTAGTTAAATAAAAACCTTTTTGTTGGTAGGAATTACAGTAAAAGGGTTAATGATATAGTATTATATAATAATAAATATAAAATTATAATGTAACAAAAAATTATATCTTATAAGTTTTTAGACTGTTTTCTAATACAGTTTTGAGTTTATTCTGGCGTTCGTATTGTTTACCTGACGAAATAAGTATGTAGAACAAGTTTATTGAAAAATAAAAATGATTACTTCTTCAAAACCTTGCTCCAACAATATTCCAATTAATAACAACATTGATGTATTTTTTACTCGCTAGTTTCTAATTATTAAAAAAAAACACCTAGCTAGATGACGTTATCTAGTTTTTAATTTAACTTGTAAATATTGCAAACAAAACATGATCTTTGTCTGAATTGTTTAATTTTAATCATAACAATTAAGATATTTTACAACGAAGTTTGAGATGGAAAATGTGAGAAAAATAAAGATTAAACGATATTCAAAAAAAAAGTTTACGAAAACACGTTTGGTCAGTGTATGTTCATTTCGTTTTTTATGATCACACAACGATAAACTGTTGAAAATATATATGGAATATGTTTCAGCTTACAATAATGAATAAAATATTGGGCTAAGAAAAAATGCATTTATATCGCTATGAAAATTTATCTAGTAGACGAATTATTATAACGAGTTTAACACAAATTTATTTGATTTTCACTCTATTAAATTAATACACTAATATTGATAAATCCTAATTAGAGATATTGTTGATTCGAATTGATTCATAGTTAAATCTGGTCAAAGTAGACATCTGATTCCAAGCGAGATATGAAAGTTTACACATAAACACTCCAACACACATCCACTCACTAACACACACGCATATGTATTAATAGAACAGCGTGAAAAAATATACACACATACACGACAGAAAGTTCACACATCCATATCACACACACACGCACACACATCCACTAAAACTCACAAACACACAAGCACACACACATATAAACATGCACACTCACACACACCACATAAATACACGCATATGAATGAATGAATGAATGAGTGAGTGAGTGAGTGAGTGAGTGAGTGAGTGAGTGAGTGAGTGAGTGAGTGAGTGAGTGAGTGAGTGAGTGAGTGAGTGAGTGAGTGAGTGAATGAATGAATAAATGAATGAATGACAGAAAATTTCTCAAAAATAGGACAATCACTCGTTAGTAAGAGACTCTTTGTAGTTCAAGTACTGAATATTGATGATGTCGTTTACATCCTTCATTACACTGGCACTCAATTTTGGTACAATCTGAATTTTGAATTTTTTTTTTCAAAAAATATTTACACAAAATAAAAAAATGTAATGCTATTTATGAATTAATTTACATACAAAATTTTTATGGTAATGATGAAGATGAAACCTTCATACTAAAAATACTAAACATACTAAAAATACTAAACATACTAAAAATACTAAACATACTAAAAATACTAAACATACTAAAAATTCATCAATATGAAATCTTTTTTTTAATTATTTTGTGTCAATTCGATTCGAACCTGGACGGCTTTCAAATTTTCGATGAGTTGTTCAACGCTGGAGCTGCCCAGGACAACGCAGTGCACATTTTCGTTCTTCAAGCACCATGCTGTAGTCGAATTTGTTGGGTTTTGTGATTCATTAAGGAATTAAAAAATAAATTTATTCAGTATTCAACGGTTCGTTCTTCTGAAAATAAGTTATTTTCAACATCGGAAACATCAAATTAATCATTTGTTCAGGCATTCAGTTTGATAGCCTGCCATTCCAACGGCCAGTTAGTCAATCATTCAGTCGTTCGGTTGGTAGTCAGTCATTTATTCAATTCAGAGTCATTTGGTCTCTTTTTCAAACAAACAACGAACTACCGACCGATAGCTAATTGAGCCAGTGTGCAATCCAACTTGCTGGCAATCATCTCTAAATCATTCAGAAGTAAGTGATGCCTGGCGGCTTGTTCATTTGTCACTCGCTCTTTGTACCAGGAGAAGTTCTAAGTTTTTAAAAACTTTCTCGAAAAAACATCCAAATATCATTATTATAAAAACCGGGGGTACGAGAAGAAAGATTGATTAGATAGTTTTAACATTTTATAAGGATGTGGCTGACGTGGCACAAGTTGAGACATTTCAAAGTAACAAATAATATAATTTATTAGAGTTAAATATACTCTAGTTAGTTTTCCAAGGTGTCTAATCTACAACGTACACACAGCGTGTTTGTTTAAAGGCGAACATTGCAAGTGATAGGAATCTCTGCATCTCTGCAGCAGGACAAGCCCCTTAATCGCTATTCCATTTTTGTTTGGAATTTTGGTTAAACTATATTATTAACTATACTAACTCTAGTTTAACAATGCTGTATTACTCTATTAAATTAATACACAAAATTACTCACTCACTCATTCACTCACTCACTCACTCACTCAGTACTGTAGCTAAACTGTACCAGTGGATGTAAAAATAATTAAATATAATGTCATACAAGAATAGATTTTAGAATGTGATTAACAAGCATTGGGCAGAAGAACCCAAGCAACAATTGAGACAGACTAGCTAGCTTCATTTACAATAAACTGAAAAATATACCTTAAATCAACCAGGTCAATCAACCAACAAATCAACCAACCAACCGAACAACCAAAAACATTTATAACCCTAACCATCCAATCAACAATCCAATCAACCATCTAACCAACTTGCCAACAATCCAACCAGCTAACCATCTAACCAACCAACCAACCATCTAACCAACCAACCAGCAAATCTATCAACTATATCAATCAACCAACCACAAGCCAACTAAAACTCCAATCAGCGAATTGCGCAACCAACCTTTATAGACGCTCTAGAGTTTGCGGGTAGACCATTTTTGTACTTTCCACTCATCATGCCCCCCATCAAGGGACACGCAGCCATTAACCCCAGACCTGAACAAGTTTTGAAAAAAGTAAAAAATTATATTTTAATATTTGTAAAATAATTTATCATAATTATATTTTTGTAATATTTTAATTTGAGTGGGAAATTGGTTTAAGAATAAATTTGACATTAAGGTAAATCTAACTATATTACATTACATTTCAGTCGAACAACTAACCAATCAACTATCTAACTAATTTATCAACCATCTAACTAACCAATCAATCATCTAACTAACCAATCAACCATCTAACTAATCACTCAGTTATATAGTTAATCAAAAACTTGTAAATACCATGCCACCTCTTCTCTACACAAATCAACCAAAAATTTTACCCATTTTCTTGGAAAACATAGACTCAATAGCCCCATTTTTGGATCACCAACCAGACGTCAAATTTTACATTTAATAAGTTTATTAACCAGCCAAACAACCAATCAATTAACAAACTATTCGATCATTCAACTAAGCAGTCGACCAATCAATAAACCATTAAATTATTCCATTTCATCCAACCAATCAACAATCCCCTAACAAACCACCAACCAATTTTATGGAAAAGTTCAGGAAGGTGCATCTCGATGGATTCCCTCTTGAAGAAGTTGTACTCGGATTGTTCAACAATCGGTGGAATGAGATTAAACTGTCGGCAGACCGAGTAGATTTCCTTTAGTAATATATTCGTTAGACATATCATTTGTAGAATAAATTAAAATCTCGTCTTGCATATTAGATAAAAATTAATTTCTTTCATTACAATATTCTTTTTCTTATTAAAAATTATTTTTCATATTATTAATTTATTTTCTCTTATTATATATTAGAAAAAAATTTACCGGCTAGAATTTATTATCACCGCGAGTTGAGCTAATCATCGTCATTACAAATAAGAATTTTTGCGACTACTATCATCACTATTTATATTATCACTATTACTACTACTACTACTACTACTACTGCTGCTGCTGCTAATGCTACTGCTGCTGCTGAGATGCTACTACAGCTACTACTAATATTGTTGCTACTACTTTTTTTACTACTACTACTACTACTACTACTACTACTACTACTACTACTACTGCTACTACTACTACTACTATTATTACTACTACCACTACTGCTACTACACATCAAATACTAGAACACTAACTCAAGTGTTTACATGTACTGTGTGTTTTTTGTTGATGCCCTTGAAAAATATTGATCAGGGAATCGGAATGAACAGCCAAACGTACCATAATTTCCGTGGCTGCCCATTTGGAAGTCCCCCAATACATAGCCCACCCCTGGTTGATCACGTGCGTGAAGGCTCTGGCTATCTCTAAAAGAATGAGAAATGAGAAAATTAGATTGATGGTGGATCGGTAAATGTATGAAAGAAACGGCCGGATGGATCAAAAAAGGTAAAGGAAGAAATTGAAGTATGGAAAAATGGTCTGAAAAGTGGGTACAGGATTGGAAAAGTGAAAAAATAAATGACTGAATTTTAATAATAAATAAAAAAACCTTCGACGGGTGTTCTGGGATCCGACTTGTTGGCAAGTATGACATCAACATAATCCAACTGCAGACGGTCTAAAGAGCTTCTTAATCCTGTGTGTGTGTGTGTGTTGTGTGTGTGTGTGTTGTGTGTGTGTCTATGTCTGTGTATGTGTGTGTGCGTGTGTGTGTGCGTGTGTGTGTGTGTGTGGAAATACCTTCTATTATATGTTTCCTTGAGAGGCCCTTCTCTGTTTCTGCCCTGTAAAAAAAATTTGTATCGTTAGCAATGCTTTTTTAGTGAATTCAGATGGATCTTTAAACAGCTACAACAACACAACTAACATGACACCTTCATCATCATCATTACCATCACCATCATCATCATGTCATCATCATCATCATCCCCATCGTCATCATCATCATCATGTTATCATCATCCCCATCGTCATCATCATCATCATGTTATCATCATCCCCATCGTCATCATCATCATCATGTTATCATCATCCCCATCGTCATCATCATCATCATGTTATCATCATCCCCATCGTCATCATCATCATCATCACGTACTTCCCACCCCACGACACTTTTGTGATGACAATATAACTTGATCTCCTGCGAAATTGAAATGTTCATTGTTCATACGTAGGTCGGTGACAGAGTAGTGTAATGGGTAAAGTGCCTGGTCCGGTTGCTGCAATGAATGGGTTCGAATGCAAATTGATTCCTATACATCACAATTTTTTTCAAAAGTTTATTCATGTGGAAGTATTCACGTGCGTTGTGTCGTGTCTTGTTGATAATGCATTGAAATTATAATTTAGCATTTTAAATTAATTTTTTTTTTTAGAAAATTTGTAACCTCCAGGCTTTTTTCTTCAGAATTTTCCCAAGAACTATCTCAGCCCTACAAATAGGATAATTTCATAAAATTCACCAAAAAAAAAATAAATATTGAAATAAATTTTAAACGAAAATAAAATGATTTGTTAAAGATTGTTCGGTGGTTGACTTTTTACACCCACTTTGTTATAATAAAAATAAAAATTATAATGATAATAATAATTATTATTATTATTTTAAATTATTCTAAGTTCATCGAGGAGAAGTATTAAGAATGGAAGAAGTTATTTCTGAAGAAAAGTTTCTCGGATGGAACTAGTGATGTTACCAGTTTTGAAATTAGGTAGAAAAAGGTCAAATTTTTCCAAATTGCCTTCACCAGGACAGGCAAGTGTAAATTGAAAATATTTAAAGGTCAAAGAATAAAAAGATATAAAAAAAAGATCAAGACAGGTTAAGCAATTTATGATCACATTATTTCTCTGGATGAAAGTAATAAAAAAGATGAAAAATTTAATAAAAATTGAGTCTAAAGATGAACTATATAGCATAAAGATGAATGTTTGAATGAATATAACATAAATAAACGTTTACTAACCAGCCAACCAATCAACCATTCATCCAACTAGCCAGCCAATTCAACCGACCAACAAATATTAATCAATCAATCAGCCAGAAAAACAAACCAATCAACCAACAAATTAGCCAATAAACCAATACTAACCAAAATATGCAAAAAACCGGTCATCCAATCATCCAAACCAGCTAGCCAATCAAGAACTCAATACCAACGTACACACAAAACCAACCACCCAATCAACAAACCAACCAACATAGAGTCAAACAAGCTTGCCAATCAACAAACCAACCGACATACAGTCAAACCAGCTATCTAAAATACCTCCCTCCAGCGTATGCTTCAGAGGTATCGAACGCATGTACACCGTGTTCATACGCCAGTGTCACTATATCTTCTGCTGTCTTATTGTGTTTGTTTGTGTGTCTGTGTGTTTGTTTGTGTGTCTGTGTGTGTGTTTGTGTGTCTGTGTGTTTGTTTGTGTGTCTGTGTGTTTGTTTGTGTGTCTGTGTGTTTGTTTGTGTGTCTGTGTGCTTGTTTTTGTGTCTGTGTGTTTGTTTGTGTGTCTGTGTGTTTGTTTGTGTGTCTGTGTGTGCGTGCGTGTGTCTGTGTGTGCGTGCGTGTGTGTGTGTTAATGTAAATAGCGAAAATGTGTATGCTTGCACTGAAAATGCGTGCCAGCATGCATGTGCGGATTGTGAATTTCAAAGCATCGATTAATGTATGCATTTATTTTTTCAATTTTATCATTCTAGACGTTATGATCCTAATCGATTCCATTATTAACATCACTTTCACTGTCATCATTATCGTAATTATCATCATCGTCTTCTTCATCATCGTCGTCGTCTTCATCATCATCGTCGTCGTCTTCATCATCATCGTCCCCATCATTATCACTAACTTCATCTGATATTTGAGACCCAAAGGTAGCAAATGTTCCTGTGAAGAAAAACCAGCCCCACTCATTCAGATATATTTTTTAAATTCAACTGGTTTTGCTTGATCATTGCAATTTTATTAAATAATTTTTTAAAGAATAAAATATACTTCATCGTCGTCATTGTCATCATTAACATAATCGCCATTCTCATCATTGTCTTCATCCTTGGGGTCCATAACCATTACACCATAACCATGCCCACATAAAACAAACATTAAAATAAATTGAAAAAACGAACCCAAGACTATGTTAGAAATTCGGAGGCCAGACTTTCCTAGATTTCTGATTGGGTTGGAAGGAAAACAAGATGTACAAATAGACCCACAGAAATTTAATTAATTAGTATTAGGAACAGTAGCTTTTGTCCAAAACTCCAAAATACATATTGACTATCAAATGACATCCAGCCAGCCTATCGACTGAACGATCAACCTACCTACCGATCAATAATTCAAACATCCAACTTACCCACCAACCGACCAACATATCAATCAACCAACCTACCTCCCTACCTACCTATCAACCAGCATATCAACCAGCTAACCAACCAGTTAGCCAACCAATCTGCTAACCAAAAAACCTACTAGTTAACCAACCAACTAACTAATCAGACACCTAACAAATCTACCAGCCAACCTACCAAAAGTTGGTTTGGCTGGCTGGCTGGCTAGTAGGCCTAACTACCCAATAACATCCAACCAATCAAAAAACCAACCAACTTTCTATCCACTATCAACCATCCCACCAACCAATCAACCAACCTATAAGCCCTTGGATGAAAATGAGCCTCAGTCTTATAAGCCACACCGCTAACCCCGCCAGAAACATCGGCCACTTTGCGACTATCACCACCACCACCAATATTACTATTAGAAGTAATAACAGTATGATTATTATTGTTGTTATTCACGTTATTGTTGTTATTGTTGTTGTTGCAAATGCCTAAGCTACCATGGCATGATTCCTGTGACGATTGAGTCCTGTGGCCCGGGGCGTAGCAGCCTGACCTCTGAACCATGCTCGATTTGATGTTGCTGGTGGTTAAGGTTGGTGTTGGAAGGAAACTCAAAATTTAAAAATTTCATTGAGGAAAAAAGCAGTTGAAAAAATGTTTTCAAACTTTAAATTATAATCGGATGTATGCATAAATAAAATTGGAAAATAAATTAGGAGTAAAAAATTTTTTAATTCTAATAATCCCTTAACAGATTTAGAACAAAGAAGTAGGCAAAAATGCTTTGGAATTGTAAAATCCGAAATCTCACAAGAAATTTTGTTCTTAAATCTGTGTAAAAATATTTTTTGTTGATCACTTAAAAACTCGTGAAAAACGAAGATGTATGCTTGGTGGAAATAAAGCTACTCAAGTTTCGGTAAACTTTACGAAACCAAAAATATCAAAATTACTGAAATATTTCAATTAGTTTGTTTGTTTTTTGGCAGATTAACGGCGTTTTAGCACTGTGGTCATCCATAGCGTTACTGGTTTTGTGACTATTTGTATCTGTTGATCCTCAACTCTCTAAATCTTGTTCAACGCATCGATCTACTTCTGAAATGAGATTAAAACTTCCAGATTTTTATCTTAGATTATTGATTCTACAAACAACGGACATCTTAGTTTATTTCTTGCACACTATTGGAATATGATGAGTGGATTGATTTTGGTCGCAAATTTCACAAAAGTTTGTTTTTCCGGCAACCCAGAAATGGTTGACTGTCGAATGTCTACTTTTAATCTATTATAGTTTATAGCGAAGGAACTGAAATGTTAACGTACCGAAATACGTAGTTATGTGAAGTTTAGATGTCTGCAATGAATTTCATTTTTTTTCAATTACAATTTACGAGTTTAGAAAAGCTTACGTTTTAATAATTACAAAAAATTAACTTTTTTTATATAGAAAAATGGAAAAAAAATGTTTTATAAAAATGCTTTTAATGATAAATTTTGCCGACAGAACTTACATTCTCAAAAGAATCAAACCTAATTATTCAGAAGAACCGTTAAAACATCAAAAAATATCCCAAAAACAAAACAATGCAGAAGCCTTTTTCTAAAATTATCATCAAATGACGTCACTGGGTTGTGATGATGATGATGTTGACGACGACGACGACGGTGATGATGATGATGATGATGATGAAGGTCAAGGGTATGGTGTTGGATGGACTGGTTCTGGTAATCTCGGCAGGCTCGTACATGATCCTCAGACGCTGGGTTCAAACGCAGACGCATCCATGAGAGTAACTCTTATAAGATTATGACGTTCTATTCTAGCTTAGCTAGACATTCAACTTTACTTTATACTCTGCATGCATCTTGTTTTATAACTAAGTATGGACCACACACACACACACACACTTACATAGTTATGTTATAAATTTAATAGAAAATTTAATCAAAGGTAAAATTTTCCTACCTGTACTGTATAAAACTCATCTTCCTTTAATGAAATCCACCAATCAATCTGGCTTTATTCAGTTCTCAATGAATGTTATTATTATTCCTTTCTGTGAGGTGTGGAGTTGTTAAATTATGCTTTAATTATGAATTTATGGTTTCATTATGTAGAATTATGGATTAAATGTTTTATTATGTAGAATTATGAGTTAATTATTTTGTGTTTAGTTTCGTATGAGAATATGTATGTGTGTGTGTGTGTGTGTGTGCGTGTGTGTTGTGTGTGTGTGTGTGTGTGACAATGTAAGTTTTACCTGAGTAAAAAAATATGTGAAGAACAAACAACAAATGCTACTATACTAAAAACGCTTCAAACATTCTATGCATGGATCTATTTTGACAAATTTAAAAATATAGAAGAATGACGTCAGATTAACTTCTATATGACGCGCTAGATTATAACTGAATGATATGATGAATATAGGTCATCCTATCTACTGATTCAACATATAAGTATTGTGATAAATTTAACAATATTGCGCTATAATAACGTATTTTGCTTGTGTAATACATTACATATTTTTATGTTTTATTAATTAACTAATTTATTTATTTGTCTAGAAGTTTACATTTAATTAATTTATTTTTTTGTCTTTAATTGGTCATTTAAATATTTATAAATATATTTGTTCTCTTGATGTAAGAACAAATCCATTAAAAAAAACTTCCAACCGGGAGATAGTACTTCTGTGATATATATATATATATATATATATATATATATATATATATATATATATATATAATTATTGTGCTGGTGGTTGGCTATTTATCTGTTGGTTGTTCTAAATTATATGTTATCGTGCATCTTCTTAGCGTGATTGTGTGTGATTGGTGTGGATAAAGTGTGGATAAATGTATCTATGATTTGGTTTAAAATGGTTGCTGTTTGGTTCTTATATGGTTGTTGCATTACTTTGAGTGATTGGATATGGTCGAGAGTATATGTGTGCATCTATGTATAAATTTAAAGGATTTATCTGTTTTGTTTTAGTTATTTTTACAATGTATACTTATGTTTATTTTTCTAAATATTTATGCTTTTGTTTGATTACTTAAATGGACAAAAAATTTTTTTGGTTATGTTGGATAGCGACTTTGGGTAGTTCTATAAAAGTCGCTATACAAGTTTTTTTATAATATATATATATATATATATATATATATATATATATATATATGCATGCGGATATACACGAGTCAAAGAGAGGCTCTGAAAATATAGAACAACAACACACGTTTAGACGACATTTTCCCCGAGATCGGGGGTTGCCGTATGGCTACCTATGATGAAACCGAAATACCCCTCGACGCCATTCACATCTGTCACTCGCCTCAGTATCACGCAACCCCGCTTTCACTTTGTCCTTATCCACCTGCTCTCTCCATCCCAGTCGCAGACGACCTCTTCCTACCACTCCTTCAACCTCGAACTCCAACACTCGCCTAATCCCGACCCTTTCATCCTTCTCAACACATGTCCTGAAAATATAGAACTAGAAGAAAAACCAATTTAGGAATAAATTAGAGGGGTAAGGTAGAGAATTAAGGAAAAAAAGAGAAAGAAAAAGAGAGAGGGAGAGAGAAGAGAGAGAGAGGAATAAAACAATCCTACATTTGAAAAGACAACAGAAATGGATAGAAAAGTAGAATGAAGAATAAAAGGTGCCCAAAAATCGTGTAGAGAGATAAAAAAATTAGGTAGAGAAACTTCAGAGATTATTCAGAGGTTAGTTGGATTATAAAAAGGCAATACTTAATTTTATGAGGTTTTGATGGGTTAAAATGAGCATGTACATATACATGCATGTACATATCTAGTTGGTAATAAAGTAGCATTCATTCAGAAGAATGTACACTAACTGTTGAAATTATGCTAGAAATGAAGTCATTTTAAACTTGAATGACATGCCAGGATTTAAGGTAAAAAAAACGACAATGATGAAAATTATGGCGGGAATGACTACGAAGAAGATGATGATGATAAGGGTGACGGTGATGGTCATGATCATGGTTCAAAAAATGGTGATGATGAGGATGATGAAGATGATGAAGCAGAGGTGATGGTGGTTTTTTCACCAGATAAAGCATTCAGACAGCTTTTTCATTACGTTACTCAGACATACGTTGTATTAATAAATATGCCATTCATCGTCAATACGTACACACTAAATGACTTGTAACATACTCTTACATACATATATACACGCACGCACACACACATATGCACACACACAAACACACACATATGCACACACACATACATATATGATGTAGTTTGTATAATTATATAAAAAACATAAACACATACAATGTATAACATATAACGCTGTATGGTGAAGCAAACAACATACAAACATGCAAACATATGTCAATCCGAAGTATTGATTTTGGAACTCTGTGGGTTCCTCTGCTTCTTAGTTCTGACATAGTCATCATCATCATTGTTGTCGTCATCATCACCACCGTCCTCATCATCATCATCATCGTCGTCGTCGTCATCATCATCAACGACCCCCTTATCATCGTCATCATCAGCATTCGTTTTTATCTCTCACATCAAAAAAGGTTGATAATGACTTTTCTAATTGCACCACAATTTGCAACAAATCTTGCAATCGGAAGCAGTGCTTCTGCTTTGTATACAATTCTACTGAACTTCATTATCGTGAGAGGTTGAGACAGTTTTCAGTCCAAAATTTCTACAAATTTAAATTTACAGTGATTTCTTTCATTTTTAGCCTAACCTTGCCTGGCAAAATATTACATCGGGATGGGTTAACCCCAAAGCCCCCATGTTTAAGCCACTGGACATAGCACATGTAATGACACAAACATTTAGAGGGGTAAGGCTGCTTATGCCCTAAAACCAAAAGTGGATCTCCAAATTGGCTTTATTGATATAGTGTCAAGTTCGGATCTAGACAATTTAGACGAGACGAGCCAAAACTTTAAAAATGATTAAATTTTGAAATTTACCGCAGGATCAAAGAAACTGACTAAATTTCTACTAGTGTGGCTAAAATTAGTCTAGTGAATTCTTTTTTGGTTCATCATGTCAATTTTGTTTTGACTTTTGATTAAAGATAGAGTTTTACTGAATTTAAATTAAAATATTGTTCACCATGTGGAACCATGGCCAGCACCAGTCCTCTTAAATTCGCCACTATTAAAAAATCCTTCAGCTTAAATACTTAATTCAAATTCCAAAAAATAGAGCAATGGCTTGTGTTCAGTAATACATAATGATAACTATATGCTCGATTCAAAATACTATATATTAGGATTTCCATTAAAAAGTTTTCAGAACGACATGCATTTAGTAAACAAACTTTTCAGCTTCAGAACCATGTGAGTTTAGTAAAAAAAAACACCAGCTTCAGTCACGATGTCAGCGCCAAAACTAATTTAATGATAACTATTAGTGTATGCTAGCTGGAAAGTGATAATCCTGTCTAAAATCTGAGTTTCACTGACTTTTAATAACTCGAGATCCACCCCAGCATTGCGTGATGGTTAAAATGCCTGGCGCTGCTGTTGCAACGATCAGGTTCGATTGCAAGAAGATCCCAGCCTCTCATGTGCAATGTGTGTGGGTGATGGGTTGATTTACATGAGCTGTGGTGATACCCTCTGTGAAATATTGAAGAAGGATTGTAAAAAATTGAAATGTTCATAAAAAGTTAATACATTTTATGTTGATTCATTGGTTCGTGCGTGTGTGTTCATTTGTGTGATTGTGTGGTGTATGTGATGTGTGTGTGTGTGTGTGTGAGTGTGTATATGTGTAGTGAGTGAGTATGTGTGTAGATTGCTGACATTTAAACTTCACCCATTAATAATGTACGTTTGAACGCTGATAACAACAACGACATTCTCATACTCTGAAAAACAAACAACAAAATTCGGCAACAACACACACAACGACAACTACACTCAAAAAAACTGCAACTCAATTTGATCTTTATGTATGAACAGAACATATTAACATATATTCATGTACATTATTGTTTATGTGTTAAAATTTTATAGTTAATTTTGTGTCGCGGACATAGGGACATTTTGTTTTCGCCCATGGTTTTTCTCATAATAATAATAATAATAATAATTCAAAAACTTTACAACGCGTTCTTTCATTTCAAAGCATTCTTCAAACTAAATTGTCACCATTCAACCTAACAAATAACTGAATCATAAGCAAGCCAAGGATTGTTGTATTATTATTATTATTATTTATATTATTATTATTTTATATTATTATTATTATTTTAATAATTAAATACGTATAGTTCCTGTGTTTATTTTTCGTGTCTGAACAAATCATGTCGGAATTTTGTTCCCTTTTTGTATCATTAAATTCAGGTCACGATTTTCATATGAATTGCCCACACACACACACACACACACACACACACACACACACACACACACACACACACACAACACACACACACACACACACAACACACACACACACACATGATTTGTACTAATGAAATGTACACTGAGAACTTTATGACAAACGTATTTAACAAATCGTGCCGGTTCATTCAAGGATATTTTAGAAATTGTAACGTAACTAAATTAATTTAACTGTTTTAAAAACTATAATTGTGTAAAAATAATATAATTAAATATTAAATAATTGTATTAATCAATCGCAATTAGTAAATTTATTATTTAAATTTAGCTTGTGATTTTTGTATTGTTCGTATTTCATATATCTACCTCTTATTGTAAACTTTTTATTGGCTAGAAGGTTAAATACGTTTGGTTGGTTTGATGATTATTTTTCATATATTCAATAATAACATAATTAATTTAATTATTTAATATATATTTTATAATAATATATTAATTCGCTATTAATAATGATCATTTATTTAATTTCATAGCATATTTTCGCGAAGTTTTGAGTTTTGTCTTATCATTTTCACATATTAATTTGAACATTATGGCTAATTATATAAAAATTTAAATTAATTATATGATAATTTATATTATATGAAAAATATATTGCAATATTTAATATAAATAAAACGTGTATTTCATAACAAAATCGTTCAAATTTTTCATTTTTTTTCAAAAATTTATTCAGAAAATTACTAAAAATTTTCTTCCTAATAAAACAAAACATACACTAAATAATTACAGTTAATTTTCAAATTTTTTTTCTTTCAAAGATAAATATAAATTTCTGTACATATGTGTGTGATTGTGACTTTACTATAATTTTCATGAATTTTCTGCAATAAATTTAATATACAGGTTAAATAAATACACAAAATATGGTAACACATATATAATATAGGACTGATATAGTATAAATAACATCAAAAAATATTTTTTATTTCTTCAAAAATACTCAGCCCATCCCTACAAACCACATCGCCACTAGTGACATCTCGCCACCAGACATGGTTCACTGAGTGAAAAACATTCAACCGTAACGAACAATATTTCGTGCTATATATTTGTTAGTCTGACATGTTATAAAAACGTATATATATATATATATATATATATATATACGTATATATTTATATATAAACATATGTATATATATATGTTTTATTTTAAAAAGAATTTAAAATGTTTAATAAGCCTAACTTGCTGGCTCAGACTAAAAACTAATATTTGAAAATTAATTTAAGAATCTTGTTTTGCAAATAGTTCTATTTCAGCTTTCCCTTATTATTGGCTTATTTTAAAACAAATTTTGTACATTGCATATTTTATTTTATTATAATTATATTTATATATTACAATTGAATATACACCCATATAAATAATAAAATGGTAATTAAATTTAATATGGTTAAGTGTGTTTAATCTTTAATGCTTTTATTAGGCTGATGTTTTTGGCAACCAGCTAGCTATTGTGTATGAGGTAGTTGCATTTAAATATTTACATAGGCATGAATTTGATGAGTACACCTAGCTCTCTCAGCTTAAGATTTTGTCCTTTTTCACAAAAGTGAATTTAATTTTGACTTGATTTAAAATTAAATTTCTCAAAGCAATCCAAATTCAATTCAGTTAAAAGAGTTTGACCATCATTTAATCAAAAGTTCTTATTTGATCTTTGAATTTTAATTCTTCATCAGTGCTTTATGAATTAAACATTTTTGAGCATGATCAATAACTTGACACACCTTATAAGTAGAGTTTCAAATTAGGTGTTCATATATCTTTGTCAAGTCATCTTATCGTCACTTAATATAAAAGGGTGTTGCAATTAATTTTTATCTGCAAATCGTATTCAAATTTATTCAGCTTTTTATGCTTATTTTGAGGTGAGCATTAAAAAGTAATTTTTATGAAAAAGAATAAATAAAATAACTATTTAATAAAATTAATCTAACAAAAAAGTGATATGACAATGATTAAATTATAAATTAAGCTTATAATTTATTCATGATTGTATTTTTTGCAGTTTCTGTAAAGACTTGAATGAGAAAAAAAGTTAAAGAACTGGCAGAAGGAAAAAATTCTTTGATGCCAAATTGCAACAAGTTTTAAATCTTGAAAGGGCAGCGATGTGTGAATCTGAGAAAAGATATCAGTTCCCGATGAAAGCATTTCAGGTGCAGGGCACTGAGAACGTTTCAGTCAGTGGCATGAAGAAACATCTGTTCGACAGCTCTGAAGAGAACAACGACTACGTGGCGAACTACAATTCCGCTCACAAACAACAGAAGAGACAGCTACTGAAACAACAGCAACAACAAATGATCGTCCAACAACAACAGTTTAAACAGCAACAGTCCAAACAGCAAACACACCTGGATAACCCCAACCAACTCACTAACTTGAAAGAAATTGCCATAAACGCTCAAAACAAACCTTCTCTACACAAATCGTCATCGTCACCAAGAATAACAGATGAAAGCAGCAAACTGGCCAAACTTCAGTTTAAAAAACACAAAAAAAATCGTGTTTATCCTTCTGAGGTAGACGGCGATCTCCCAAGCCAACCTCCTCAGAATGGTCTTTCCAATTTTGATCCCAATCTAGTTAGAAGGCGGTCTGAAGATAGGGGGGGCATTGTTAACAGGGTACTCCAACGTTTTAGCAGGATCGGTAAGGAAGATGGTGGTGGCGGTATTTTTTCGTTCAGTCAGTCATCTTCGTACAATTTGAAGAATCGTTCCAAATCACAGGACAGAAATTCTATCATCACAAACAGTCCAAGCGTCTTCTCTCCGATCATCAACAGTTCATCTGCCGATTCCACTGTTCCCGTTTTGAAGAATTTTAAAAGTTTGAAGAATGAGACCAAGGACGTCCAACTATCTCTGACCAGGGCAGCCTACTCAAGCACAAATCTCCACAAACCTGATAAGAATAAGAAGAGATTTTCCGTGCCGAACATTTTCAGCAGCAAAGGTTTGAGCATCCCCGCTAACAACAGCACCTCCAATTTTTATGTTGAAAGTAATCACGATAGAGATGATGGTTATGTGACTCTGCAACCAGCTCAACTAAATTCATCAGCACTGCAACAACAACCAAAACAGCAACAACAAACGCTACTACAACAAACGCAACAGTTGGAACTACAACAAAATCTTCAGCAGTTGCTGCAGCAACCACAACAACTGCAGTTTCAGAAACTACTTGACAAAACAACTGCAGAACAGCGTAATCTTGAACAAGCTCCACTGAAAGCTGATGAAAAATTTGTAGAAAATCAACAGAATTCTCCAGAAACACAGCAGAAAACAAATCAGAACCAGCAACAACCATTTGAGAACCAGCGATCCAAAGAAAAACAACTGCAGCAACAACAAAAGCCACAACAACTACAACAAACTCCACCACAGCAACAACCACCAAAGCCACAACAAACGCCACAGCAGCCAAAACCTCAACCACAGCAACAAACAAACAGTCTTAGAAGTTTGAGGCAAAAGGCCACAATCCTGAAACTCAGTCCGGATATTGAGACAAACAGCAGTAATGTCGCAATCGTCTCCCCACAAATTCAAGACCCAAAACCAACGCAAAGCAACAACAACAACGTTAACAACACTTCCAACAAAGACGCCACCAACGACAACAACATTACTAAACCTAGCACAGCAGACTCAACAGTTACAGCCACAGATTTTGTTGTTGACGTTGACGAGCTTCAAAGCAGCAGCGTTCAGGGCAGCACGATTCACGTAACTTCAGGGACGAAGATAACCATCAACAACAATTCTTTCATAATCAACAATGTCAACACGCACAACATCAGCAACAACAACAGCAACAACAGTAACAACAACAGCAACAACAACAGCAAAGACATCAATAACAACATTGGCGACAACAGCATAAACAACGCTGATGTGAAAACAACAACTCAACCATCCGAAGTAACAAAGATTTACATTAGAGCTGACGGGAGCAGTATTTTGAATGTTCAACAACAACAACAACAGCTTCAACAACAACACGTTTTTTCTACTGGTATTTAAATTTTACGAACCTTTCATTGCAATTTCTCTCAACTCATTGCCACGCACTGTCTTGAAACAAAGATGAGTGAAACACGATATCTTTGCGTGCACCACTAGCGAATAGAAGTTGCATCAGTGGTTTCAGATATTTTTAGCATCCAGCTGAGAGACAACTCATCAACGAAACCTTCTTCTCATTGATTCTTAATGTAAATTCTTCTTACTCGAAAATATTTCTAGCACGAATTTATTTTGTAAAACTCTCTTTCTCTCTCTCTCTCTTCAATATTTTCAGAGGCATACATACAGTACGTGAATACACACGAACCAATGCGTTTGATGGGCGACCAGTGGCTACAATAGCTGGCATAGTCTTCTTAAACACAAAACCTTTTCGATAGTATCTCTGCCATGGCCTACTTCGGTCGGTCGTTTTCTTTCCAACGTTTCTTCCAATTTTTCTGACTATGTCCTCCCAATTCTGTAGCAGGTTTCAAGTCATGCATAATCATCAAATTTGATGAGCGATGTTAAGAGTTATGTAAATATCGCTATAAATATATGTGATTGATTGATTGATTGATTGATTGATTGATTGATTGATTGATTGATTGATTGATTGATTGATTGATTGATTGATTGATTGATTGATTGATTGATTGATTGATTGAAAGGATCTTCATGATATGCCTCCAATTTTCCAATTCATCTACTTAGCTAAGAATCAAGTTATATGGATATTTATTTAGAAATCGAAATAATTTATGCATCCACAGCCTATTTTTGCTACGCGGACAATTATAATATTATAATTTTTTGGCTATATAGTATTAATACAAATAATAAAAATGAATATTCATTAATCGCTCCACTTATTTCTATGCAGCCTATTTTGGTCATTATTTTCTACTTAAATGAAGTTTGTTATAGAGAATTACTTTCGGCTTTCAGTAACAGTTGAGCTTTCTATAAGAATTATTAAGTTATTATGAATTGTGTCGTATTGAATTAAAATAAATTGAAAATTTAATTTAAATAAAATAAATTAGAAGATAAATTAATTTAAAATAAATTATAGAATAAAATATAAGTAAGTTTAACTCAATAAATTAATTTAAAAATGGATGTGATTTGTTGTTATTATTATTTATTAATTTAGCAGACCTTTCAGAAATATCGTCTTCGACATCAACAACAACAACAACAGCACCACTTACAACAACTACAACAACTTCAATCCCGAACTCTGATCTATCTACAATGCCAGAAATCACAACGACAAATTTTACACAACAACAACATCAACAACAAAATGATACTACAAATAAAGATAACAACAGCATCAGCCAAAGACAACAACAACAACAACCTTGTAAAAACAACAACAACAACAGAGAAACTAAACCAAACCACAACGTTAAAAATCTTCATCTTAACACCAACATGAACCAATGCAGCAGTAGTAGTAGTAGTAGTAGCGGCAACAGCAGATCATTATCATCGTCATCACCATCATCATCATCACCTCACTCTAAGCCTGGCAAGCTGCTCATTAGACCGGCTTCGAATACAAGTGCATCCAAGACCAAATCAGAATTTCTGACTTTAACCAAGTTCAATGACATTAAGAAAGGTCTGTTTTTATCATTGTTATAATTATTATTATTATTATTATTAATGTAATAATTATTACTAATTACTAATTGAATGCATCATTTAGAGTTATTCCTTTTTTGTTGTACACATTCTTCTTTAGAATGTCGAGCTTCGTGGAATATTTTAACTCTTAATTTTGAAACAATTTTACTTTTATTAAATTTTAATTCATTAACAATTCTTTTTAACGTGTGATTTATGATGAAAATAAAATGATGTTCCCATTATTCCCATCAAACATCTTCACCATCAACGTCATCATTATCAACATCATCATCATCATCAAACATCTTCACCATCACCACCGTCATCATCACTATCACCACAAATTCAGGTGAATTTGCTCCTCCAATGCCAAAATTGAAGAAAGCTAAGGAGATTGAAGATGATGACGACGATGATGATGAAGATGATGATGTTCCGATGAGAAATGTGAGTGCATATTCGGCGAGAACTCTCTTTTATTTTCAAAAAAACTTTAAATAAAATGAAGTGAAGTAAAGTAAAATTGAATCGCGAATCTAATTAAAACCCAATTGATATGTTAAATACGTAATCCGGTTCAAATTCAAGTTCAAATTGATTAAAAGTTAATTTGGAGAGAAATTGAAATCAGTATAGAACAGGGATGGGCGAAATACGGCCCGCTAAGCCTTGTTCGCCATAAAAAAAAGGCCGTCACAAATCTTAAAAATATCTCCCACGGGTCGAAAAACATCTCATCCAGCCGAAATGAGAGGTGTTATTTTTTTGAAGCAATCAGCATTATATGGTCTTAATTAGTTTGGTTATCTGAGATGGGACGTGATGGAATGATGAAATGAGGCCGTGGAAATTTTGCAAAGAGATATTTGCCCCAGTCGACAGCTTGAGACCACTGTTCAAAGTCGACGCCTGCCATAACTACTTCCGCTTTGCTTCATCTCAGTTGCTTGAGTTGTTTCTATTCTTTTTTTTTTAATAATCGAACTGATCGGTTATCGCTGGCATCCGAGTCATTCGTTCGTTCGTTCGTTCGTTCATTCATTCATTCATTTATTCATCCATTCATTCATTCATCCATTCATTCATTCATTCATTCATTCATTCATTCATTCTGCTTCCTTTTGTTGCATTCTTTTTTCTCCGAGTCAGTATTTTGTTTGGCCATTCCGTATTTAGAAACGAAATAGTTCTATGCCAGTGAAGTTGTCTGAGCTGTCTTTGGGTAGCGAATGATAATAATATGATGATGACGACGATGACGATGATGGCATTAGTAAAATTTTACGTCAAAATTTCCATCATATTATCACATCCTCATTTTTTCCTCGTCAAATCGTCTTCATCTTCATCATCACCACATTATGACGTCATCATCATCATCATTTTCTTCATCTTCTTCTTCATCACGTCACATCAGCAATCAGCAAAAAACAAGAGAAGCAACTTGAAGAAATGCAACAGTAACGATGTTGGTGGCACTAGATCCAGTGAAGACAACAAATCCGATTACAGCAAGGTTATCATCGAGCATAATTAATGCCATTTAAACTGCTTGTAGTCGTTAGCTGAATAGTGGACTTTCTAAAAATTTGCTGACTCACTTTATGCGATAATGAGTATGATAATTTCGTTCCATAATTTAGAGTTATCCGGAGTAACTGAGTCCGGATTGAGTTTGACCGCAATAATTATCATAAATATTGCTAATTAATATTCATGAGACAACCGGCCGACCAATCACACAGCTCAAATGCAGGTCAGTGAACTTCAACGATGACCTCATTGTGCACATGATCACGCCCAACGGCAGTTTCAGAAAGGAGGACAGGCCTGGGGACTTCCAGAAATTTCAGGGTCGAGACGATGATGATGATGATAACGAGGGCGGGGATGATTTTGATGGCAAGGTCATTCAGGGGTCAAGGTCAACGAGTTTGTTGTCTTCCCTCACTGCCGGTTCATCAGCTGGTTGGTTTACAAGATTTAAAAAAATTATTTCATATTATTATAAATTATTTTTACAATTATGAACGAACCTTCGAGTAGTAGTTCAGTGAATAATAAATGAATGGATGAGGTGTATGATTTTGAAATAAAATATGTTTTAAAATAAAACTGGACAACTTCAACCAACCAATCAAATAGCCTTTGTTCATTGGCAGTTATTATTGTCAATAATTAACTTAGTTGCTAAAAATAACAAAAATAACAGCCAATGACTTAATAAAGGTCTCTATAAATAGCACGGAATGACGTAATTTGTTGTCGTTTCTGATTGTAAAAATTTACAAACGTCACAGTAATCATTTCTAAAAATAACAACCAATCACAGGCCAGCTTTCATCCTACCAATCAAAAAGCCTGATGGACTTTACTTTCATGCACGATGACGCTGACGAGAAGAATGATGGTAACGATAATGATGATGATGATGATGACAACCTGAATAACAATAATAATAATAATAACTATAATAATAATAATTATGATAATAATAATAATTTTGCGTCATCGTCTGCTTTGTCATCAGGCGAATCGTCTTGGTCGTCTGAAATGCTTTTTTAGTCGCTAGAGTGCGAAACTGCATCTAAGACTATTGGCAGTAGCGTCACTGAAGCCACTACATCTACTACTACTGTTGCTGCTGCAATTACTACTACTACTACTACTACTACTACTACAACTACTTCTACTACTACGATTACTACTACTACTACTAGTACTACTACTACTACTACTACTACCACTATTACTACTACTATTACTACTACTACTATTACAGCTACAACTACTACTACTACGACTGCTGAAAAAAATTTTGCCAATAAGAGTAACTGCTGTTTTTCGGATTATTTATTTATTTTGCGATTGTTTTGTTATAATAATAATAATAATTATTATTATTTTTATTATTATCATGGTTATTTTTATTATTATTATTTTAATTAATTGTTATTATTATTAATCAAGCGATCATTTTTTATTACCAATAATAATGATAATTATTCTTATTATTATAATTATATAATAATAATTTTTATTATTATTAATATAATTTGAACAACAACAATAACTTTTTTCAACAGTACATTGTTACGTAAGCATGTAGGTAGATAGGTTTTTTTTTTTTTTTTTTTGATTTTTCTCATTGTGATTATGATTGTTATCATTTTTTTATGTATAATTATTATTAAAGATAAATTATCAGTAAAATTGTTGGTATCTTTATAACAATAATATTTATAATAATAATGATAATTATTATTTATTTATTTTTGCTATCAGTATTCATAAAGCCTTTTTTAAAAATTTTGAATCTGCTATAATAATTATGTTGTTATTATTATTACTATTGT